ATCCACTGAACGTAAACAGCGTATGCTGTTCTGTGTCAGCCGCGTGACATTGGATCTGTTTCCTACGTTGTTGTGGTGATTTGATCTGAACGAAAACAGTGTATCCATGTAACTTTTTGTTGTGCGATATATTGCCCCAGAAATAATTGCGATAAGCGATATTATTGTCATTTTAAGACCATTTTATGCCACTGAATATATAATCATAATGTAATAATAATAATGCATAATAATGCAAGAAGGCCTACACACTTTGAAATGGCAACAAACTTTTAATTCTTAAGAATACTTAGATCATGGAAATTAAGTATCAAAATATTAGATACCTTAAACTTGAATAAATAGTAAATTTATTTTTATGTAAATATAATGGGCAATATATTGCGTCACCAAAAATTATTGAGGTCATGAACATATATTGTGCAGTAAGTCAATATATTGATTATTGTGACAGGCCTAGCAGTGTCAGAATGCCAGTCTACCTATAGCAATGCGTTATGACAACGACGTCTCGACTGCAGATAAATGTAAACGATAAAAGAATGAATTATCATTACAAACGTGCACATTAAATACACTGAACACGGAAGCTCAAACGTGTGATGCGCTAGAACAGACCTCAATTTTTTAAACCAATCAGTTGAAAAAATGCTTGATCGTCACCGATCCCGATCCTTTAGATAGGCTCAGGACAAACTGTATTTTCTGTTGCCCTACACCAACCCTACACCTAAACCTACCTCTTACACAAAACTTCATGCATTTTTACATTCTCAAAAAAACACCATATAGTGTGGTTTTTAAGCCTTTTGAATTACGGGGGCACAGACAGTGTCCTCATAAACCACCTTCACATTGAAATACCTCTGTCATACCCATGCAAAAATGACCAAAGAGTTTCTATATTTTTCCTATTTAAAACTTGACTCTTCTGTAGTTACGTCGTGTACTAAGACCGACGGAAAATGAAAAGTTGTGATTTTCTAGGCCGATATGGCTAGGAACTATACTTGGGGGGGTGGAGGAGGTGAGATGGTCCATGTTTCAGGAGGTAGGGGGTTTGTGTGGGGTTTCAGAGGAGGGCGGGGTGATTTGAGTTCAGGGCTCTCACAGCCTGGGGGAAAAAGCTGTTGAGCAGTCTGGCGGAGCGGGCTCTGATGCTCCGGTACCGTCTTCCTGATGGTAGGAGCTGGAAGAGACTGTGGGAGGGATGGGTGGGGTCCTTCACGATACTGTTGGCTTTGCTGGAGCATCGTGTAAGGAAAATGTCCAGAATGGAGGGGAGAGGGGCACCGATGATCTTTGCAGTTGTGTTCACTGTCTGCTGTAGAGTCTTGCGGTCAGCAGCACTGCAGTTCCCGTACCAGACAGTGATGCAGCTGGTCAGCACGCTCTCAGTGGTGCCCCTGTAGAATGTGGTGAGGATGGGTGGAGGGAGACTTGCTCTTTTCAGCCGGCGGAGAAAGTGTAGGCGCTGTTGTGCCTTCTTGGAGAGTGACATGGTGTTGGTGGTCCAGGTGAGATCCTCTGTGATGTGCACCCCCAGGAATTTAGTTCTGCTGACTCTCTCCACAGTCGAGCTGTCGATGGTCAGTGGGGGGTGGTCAGTAGAGTTTCTCCTGAAGTCCATTACAACCTCCTTTGTCTTCCCCACATTGAGGGGCAGGTTGTTAACGCCACACCATGCAGCCAGCTGTGCCACTCTTCCTCTCTGTAGTGCGTTTCCGTTGTTGCTGAGACCTACCACCGTTGTGTCATCCGCCAACTTGATGATGTGGTTGGAGCTGAACTTGGCAGTGCAGTCGTATGTAGTATGAAAAAAGTAGTATGTGTATGTTTACATGCTCATGCACTACAAATCATCTTGCACTGTTCTCCAGCCAGCTGCTTGACTTACGATGTTTCTCTTTGCACATGTACAGTATTTATGTGAAGCATTCGTATAGTTTGTATTTTTTCGTTTATGTATAGGTAACCATTTATATATAGTATATTTATAGTCAAAATCAGTCAGTAGGCTAGTTGTGTATAGGTTTTACTATCTGTATGTCTGTATTTATGTAGCACCGTGGTCCTGTGAGGCACGACATTTCGTTCCACTGCATGCCCCCACATGTAATGGAATGACAATAAAGCTCGACTTGACTTGACTTAAATCAGTTTAATAAAACCAGCCAGCAGAGATAGACACATTTCAGTATGAAATGATTTCACTACTGTTCTGCACATTTTAAAAGGCAAAATGTTTCTTTATTACACTGTTCACAATGTTTTTAGGTGTATATTTGGTGCTGATGATGTGTATGATTTTTGGCATGGAAAAGATCCTCTTCATGACCTCTGTGTTATTGTTGAAGAGGATGGTCGATGTCGTTCATGTTGTCTAAACTCTCAACTCAGCAAAAGAGAAAGTGAAAGTACACCACAGAGTTCATCTGCCACCATTTTAAATACGCAGAATACGATTTGTTGCACAAGTAAAATGTACTATCGAAGTGTTTAGTAAAGACGATTATGTAAGTTTATGCAGGAATTGACATGTATCTTGATAGAAAAGTTGGAGGGTTTTGAGAAACTTAAGCTTGAGAAAGTCTGATCAAGGTGAGTGAAAGGAAGAGAAACTGAAAAGAAACATTCTTGTTTCTCGTGTGATTTGTGGTGATTCTTCTGAAGTCTAACAGCACCTGTGTAAATGTATGGCTGAGCTTGAGTTAAACGTCACAGGATCCATTCAGATAAATGATAACGTTTGATTAATATGATTATGTGATTAGTTTTGTGTCTAAATGTCATTTCCGTTCAGTAAAACCCATACAGCTCCATCATGGACAGTTCACAACGATTCAGAAATGAAGAGTTTTCTCCAAGATGCAGGTACTTTTAAAAACATTTTTGAAAAACACTTTTTTTATTAATATTAATATATTAATATTATTCATAATAAATAATAGTTTATATTATGGGTAAAAAAAGACAAACGTTTTGCCTATTTTTGTGTTTATATTTGTCCGGTTCTTTTAATGCTACCATTAGTGCTGTCAAACGATTAATGGCGATTAATCGCATCCAAAATAAAAGTTTTTGTTTGCATAATATATGTGTGTGTACTGTGTTTATTTATTATGTATATATAAATACACACACATATAGTATATATTTTGAAAATAGTTACACGTATATACATTTATATTTATATTATTATATTTTACATTATATATAAATGTATTTAATATATAAACATAACATATTTTTTATTAAATATATACATGCATGTGTTTGTATTTATATATACATAATAAATATACACAGTACACACTCAACTTTTATTTTGGATGCGATTAATCGTTTGACAGCACTAACTACAATTAAATAATAACAGATCTTATGGCCTCTCCTAGTCTTCTAATGAAAAATGAATGAGATTTTATCATACAGAATAGATCCAGAAATTAAAAGCATTACCCTTAGTCTGTTCTTACAGTTCAGTCCTGCAGGAGAGATCAAAACCAGAGTCCAGCTCTGTGTCAATGAAGAGTGACCAGTCAATGGATGAGCCAAAACAATTTAAGAGTGGAAACACACAACCTAGTCTCAGGTATGCAATTTCTATTATAAATGTTTTATAGAATATATATGTGACCCTGGACCACAAAACCAGTCATAAGTTTATCAAAATTATCGATTTTTCTTCTATGCCAAAAATCATTAGGATATTAAGTAAAGATCATGTTCCATGAAGATATTTTGTAAATTTCCTACTGTAAATATATCAAAACTTAATGTTTGTGAGTGGATGCAGCAAAATCGCGAACAAAAAAGGCCGGAAACACGCCTACAAACTTCGCTCGCCGCTGGCCGCTCTTTAGGAATTACCCACTCAAGTTTGGTATCAGAATCAGAATCAGAAGAACTTTATTACCAAGTATGTTTACACACACAAGGAATTTGACTTGACGACAGGAGCTTCCAGTGTAGAAGAAAATATGGACATAGTGCAGACATACATAGGAATAACACAGTAGGGATGGAATATAACACTAATGTAAGAA